TGGTTACGCGGGCCTGCCATGCAGCAGGAGGGGTGTGTCCGGCTCAGGCACCGCGTGAGGGACGGGGGTACTTTACCGCAATTTCAGAGTCACAGCAGAGTGGAAGCCGTGCGCAAGGAGAAGGGGGGTGGGGGGGAGGGGGCGGGCGACAAGGACCGGCAGCACGCTCAGCGCAGCATTGTTCCCGGGGCGCCCCGCGCGCCCCGCCTCGCGCCCGCCGCTGGCGAACCCGCTGCCCCCAGCTCCTGAACCTCGCCCGCCGTCGTTGATCCCCGATCTCCCTGCTGCCGCGGCCCCCCCAGATGACGACGAGCAGTTCAAGGAGGAGAAGGCCGTGATCCTCAAGGAGATCTCCAAGCTGGGCCGCACCAGCGAGGGCGGCGCGGGCCAGGCCGCCCCAGCCGCCCAGCAGGAGCCCGCGCCGGGCGCCGGGGCCAGCGCCGGCGAGGCGCAGCAGCAGCCCGCGCCGCCGCAGCAGGCGGAGCCGCAGCGGCAGGAGGCGGCGAGCGAAGCGGGCGGCGCGGGGCCGCAGGGCGAGGGGGAGCGGTCGCAGCCGGCGGTGGCGGCCGCTGAGTCAGATCCTGAGGGCGCTGGGGCTAACGCCCCTTGAGCGACCGTCCCCAGTTGCCGACGCTGCAACTTTTCACGCTACAGCTGCTCCTTTCGTAGTTGCGACGACGCTTGTGCGGTGGCGGGCGCCGCTGCTGCTGCTGCTGCTGCTGCTGCTGCGGTGACTGTGCTCTTGTCCTCTCCTTCCAGCTGCTGTCTTCCTAGTCAGTGCGTGTTTGGTTCCACCCCTGCCGGCGCGAGCGTGTGCATATCCGGCTGTAAGGTGCGTCTCGCCGGCTCACAGGTGTGATTGTGGTGTGTGGTGCGCACAGGATCAGCTCGGCTGCGGTGTCTGCGGCAGCAGCGCGGGCCGCTTTCAGGCGTGACACGTATGGCGTGCATGCGCAGACAGCTTCTACTTGCTGTGTAAGCTTGCGTCGGCTGTCGGGTGACACAAGGGCCCTGGGAAGGGCACAACATCAACGGCGACAGACCGACATGTGCAGATCTCTCACAGGCGCTGCCCATGAAAGCCACAGTGTTGGGGCGTTGTGTTTTTGCAGTGCAGCATCAACATGCAGCGTCGGGGAATAGTGTATCCTGTGGAGCATGCAAGAGGCCGTGTTGCAGCTGGGCAACGCGGGCTTGGCCCATTGCCCGCACCGCACTGCCGCACCGCCGCCACCGGGCCGTATCGATCTCTTGAATGACGCTGCAAGTTCCTGAAAACTGGCGTGTGTAATCCCACGTGCACCTGTTTGTCAGATTTCTGTTGTTGCTGGCTTGTATAAAGCACATACGGTAGCCTAGATCGCCTAGCAATCATGCAGCGCGCGGCTCAGCACGCAGTGGCCCTCACTACCAGGCGATGCGCGGGTGAGTTTTGTAACTCTTGTGAGTACATGCATTGCCACTATGCGTCGCAGAGAGGCCGGCATAATTGTGCGCCTTGCCCGCATGCAAGCCATAGCCTCGCTCTGCCGCGCGCGCTGCCGTCGCTGCAGGCTGGGGAGCAGCGGCGTCGTGGCAGCAGGCTCGAGGCTTCGCGATCGGCACCGACACTGGCAACGACACGCACGATGATTTCAAGCCAAAGTACAAGGCAGAGCCGGCTTCGGACGCTGCGGAGCAGATCAAGCGGGACATTGCGGCCAACAAGGTGTTCATTTACATGAAGGTGAGGGGATGATTGGGTGCTTACCAAAGGGCGATGCAGGGGCAAACCCCTGCAGCGGGATGCCCACACAGCCATTGGTGACGGGACTGACGCATTCAAGTGCAGCCAGCAGCGCCAGCCCTCGTACCCCCTGCTGTGCACGGCGCCAAGGGACGAGCGCTGCCCCCTTGCTGCCGCCCCTGCAAACGCGGCCGCAGGGCACGCCAGACGCGCCGCAGTGCGGCTTCAGCAATATGGCATGCCGCATCCTGGACGCTTACGGTGGGAACCGCGGCACGCAGCCAAGCCCGCGAGCGCCACTCCGCGCTGAGCCGATGCACAGCAGGGCCGCCCGACCGCGTGTGCGTGGCTGCCCAGAGCGTCGCCTTGTCGTTGCGTCGGCGGCTGCAAAAGGCGCCAGTCTGGTGCTTGCAGCAGCAGCGCGCGCTCTCAGGCGGCCGGCTGTTCGCTCTGCAGGAGACGTTGTGACGAGCAACTGTGCACCCCCTTGCTGCACCCACCCCCGACCCATCCACCCTCACCCCCAACCCTTGGCGCCGGCCACCCCCTGGCCGCCCCCAGGCCTCAAGTATGGGTCCAGCAACGTGCTAGCTGACGCGGGCATCAGGGAGGGGGTCAAAAAGTTCACGGACTGGCCGACCATCCCGCAGGTCGGGGCCGCGCAGGGGTCAACGGCCGAACAGGGGCGGGAGCAAGGACGGAGGAGTCGTGGGACCAGGGGCTGGGCGGAGGGCAGGCGAGTGCAGTTGAGGTCTTGCGCAAGAAGATTTACAGGCAAGCAGGGCAGAAGCTGCCCCCGCTGCTCACCCTCAGACAGCTCAGACCCGCGCTCGCGCCTCCCCTCCTCCCAGGTGTTTGTGAAGGGCGAGTTCATCGGCGGCAGCGATGTCCTGATGGAGATGCACAACAGCGGGGAGATGGCCAAGCTGGTGGAGTCACTAGAGACCGACGCCGGCAAGCAGTAGGCCGCAGCAGCTCGCCTTATTTGACGGTTTAATCTGTTGCACGATGGCAACACCAAGCCGGGCGGTGGTGGCAGCGGCTTTGGACGACAGCCGCCTTCTCAAAGCGGTCGCCGCCCCGGAAAGCACCGCAGCGCACCCAGTAGGGACGCCGCGGCCCTCCACTTTTCCCGATTCTGGATCAGCTGCTGGATCACCTGCTGTGCATGCGATTGGTTGGCAGCCGCTGCCTCGCCGGGGACGATGGCCACCGCCGGGCCAGGAGCAGCGGCTTGGCTGTTGGGGTAGGCGGTTCGCAGCACGGCCTGAGAGCTTGAGCTTTGTGTGCTACGTTGTTGCCTCTGTGTCACCGCCCATGTGTAGCCAATAAGGGTGTGGCTTTTTAACTACGTTTGTGTACGCGTCGTTCGAACCCCTCCTCCCTCTTGAGAGAAGTAAACCTGGAACAGCCGGTCACGCAGGCGTGATGGTGGCGGCTGCCCATGGAAAAAGGGCCGCGCAAAGAAGTGGTGGCGAGAGGACGGCAGGCCGAGGCCATGCAACGCACACACACCTCTGTTGAAGCCAGGGCCCCCCAGCACTGGCCTCGACACCCAGCGAGGCGCTCAGGTGTCCATCCAAACATGCAAAGCAGTGAGATCAACATGCAGGCCTAAGGGGGGGGCCGCCCACGGGAATGGCGTCCCCGTCATGGCGTCCTTAGCCCTCCAAGCAGGTCATCGCGTCACCCCGAGGCCATCAGGGCGAAGCCAATGACGAGTTGGGCGCTGTGGGCTGCTGCGGGACAAGTCCTGCGCGGGTGCTGGCAATGAGGGGCGACACAGCGGGAGTTGGTGAACTTTCTCATGGTGTTTTGAATGGTAATTTGCAACACATGGTAGCACATGCGCCAAAACGCTTGGCAAAAGGACGCTTCTAGCACCATTTGCTTGCGCCCAGGTAGCAGACTTGCAGTAGCAGACGTGCAGGACAGCGGCCGTGTGTGGGCAGCAATTCAAAGCCCAGTCAGCATGCACCAAGGACAAGGCAACACGAGCCCTTAGACAGCATAGGGAGCACGCGCGAAGATCAGGGCCTTGCAGTCAACTCAGTCAACTGCACACGGTACCGTAGCAGTTATCAATTGAATTAGAATACCAGAGTTCAAGCTACTTGTGTAGACTCGTTGCAAATCCACATCCGGCCCTTGCGGCCTTTGGCGGGGATGTTGTACTCGTCCCACGTGGACTCTCACGCAACAAAGGCGTTTCGCTGGTCGATGAAATACAATAAGATCTGGCACGTCATTTGATGCTTGAAGTTAACATTGTCACCACGTGATTCCCACGCCGCCTCTGCTGCATCCGCCGACGAGCGCTCGTGCTGCCGTGAGGGCAAGCGCAGGGCACTCCAACATGGGCCCTCAAAAGACTGTGTATGAGCTGCTGCAGGCGCAGGCGGCCGACCCGCAAGTATCGCGCCTTCTGCGGCAGCTTGACGCGCTCAGCGCGCGCTGCAGCCTCCTCGGGGCGGGCGTAGCAGCGGGCGCTGCGCAGGGTGACCCCTCCGGACGCGCCCCCGCGCCGCCACGCCATCAGCAGCAGCAGCAGCAGCAGCAGCAGCAGCAGCAGCAGCAGCAGCAGCAGCAGCCCGGCGGCGGCTGGGTGGGTGGCGTGGAGCTGCCGTGCGCCTGTGAAGACGAGCGTGTGCTGCTGCCGCCGTTCGGCTGGGCGCCCTGCAGCGAGCACGAGGCGTTGCAGGCGGCGGTGGAAGCTGCGTCGCAGGCGCTGCACGCAGAGGCGGCCAGGTGGGTGGCCGTGGCAGCGCTGCGGCCCTTATCATGCATACGTGCATGTACAAGACCCATCTTGGAATCACGCTGGGATTGCTCATACAGGACGCAGCATCTCGGACAGCAACGCCCGACCGCTCAGAATTCTGACGCCTCCGTCACCCGGCTGCATGCTTACCCCCCCTCGCCCTGCCTGCCCTGCACCTCGCCCGTCGCACCGCCGCCGCGCTCCTTCCCTCAGGCTGGCGTGGCGCAGCTGGGGCATGCAGGCGGCAAACGCGGCCCGCGTGCTAGACCTGGCGTGGTGGGCGGCCGCCGCCGCCTTCCTGCCAGAGGACCCCGCCTCCGCGCCGCTGCAGGCGCGCGTCGTCGCGGCGATGTCGCGGCACTACGTGTCCGCGCTCATGGGGCGCCGCGGCGCCGCGGGGGATGCCTACTTGCGGTTGTGGGTCGCGGCGACCGCGCGCTCCGCGGCGGCGCTGCTGGCCGCGGCGTTCCCGCGCAGCGCGGCGGCGGGAGAGCTGGGGGAAGGGCTGGAGGCGCGGCTGCGGCGGCAGCTGCGGCTGTGGTGCACGGGTGCGCGCGCGGCTGCTGCCCGGGTGCCACGCTCGGAGGCGCGCGTTGATTAGTGCAGCCGCCTTGCTGGGTGCACGACCGGGCTGGATTGCCGCCTTGAGGGCGCCTGGTTCTTCCTGCTGTCCTTCAGAGTCACTTGCCAATGCAATCATCGGCTCATGCATGTTTGCGTCAACCCGTGTCCCTCGACCACACAGGGCCTCTTCCCGGGGAGCCCCCAGGCCCCGCAGACGGCCCGCCGTCCGCTGCAGACGCGCTGCAGCGCCTGGGGGAAGACGAGCAGCTGCTGCTGCCCCTCGGGCTTCCGGACGCCGCTGACGAGGCCGCTGCTTATAGTAGTGGCGCGGCTGGCGGTGGCCAGTGCTGCACAGGCGAAGCCGCAGCAGAGGCTGGTGACGTCACAAGTCTGCGTGGTGCTGACGGCGGGCGCTGGGACGGCCGCGGGGGGCCGGCCAAACGCCAGCCGGCGACAGTCGGCTTTGTCAACTGCCTGCCAGGCCCACTGATGGAGCGCGCGCTGGGTGCTGCGCGCCTGCCTGCGCACGACCTGCGCGCGGGGCGGCGCAAGGTGGAGCAGGCGTGCATCAAGGGGGGCGCCAGCGGCGGCGGCCGCGGGGCCGACGGAGGGGTGTCCGCGCTGCGACCAAGGTGCGCCGGTGGCTCGTGCCGCGACCCCGCCATGGTTCGGCCATCGGGCGGGGGTGGCGGCGCAGACGCAGGCAGTAACATCGACGGCAGAAGCAGCGGCGGCACTGCGGCGGCGTGCTCGGCGCGCGCGGCAGAGTGCCACGCGGCGGCCGAGGCAGCGGCGGCGGCGTACGAAGCGCGCAGCCGCAGGCTGTGCCGGGAGGTGGTAGCAGCACGCCGCGGTTCGCAGCGTGAGCGGCGGGAGATCCAGGGCTGTGCGGGGCTGGCCATGCGGCTAGACCGCAGGCTCCGCCGGGACCTTGGTAGCGCAATCGCAGGCCTTTGCGGTGGCTGCTCTGCAGCGGCGACGGCGGCGGCTGCGGCGGGCGCGGCCGCCGGCGCCGCGGAGACGGACGCGGCCTGCAAGGCGGGGCGGCTGCGGTCAAACCTGGAGTGGCGCGGCGTTGACTGGCGGTGCGAGCACAAATACCACCCCAGGGGCCGCAGCGTGGAGCTCGCTGCGGCGCTGATGGGCGGCAGCAGTTGCAGCGGCAGCAGCGGCGGCGGCGGCGCAGTGGCGGGCGCGGGGCAGCGAGGGGTCTCAGGGGTGTCGGGCCGGCCGGCGCAGCTGGGCGGCGTGAGGACGGCCAAGGCGGCACGGCGGGTGATGGAGGGTCTGGCACGGGACCGGGGGGATGGCGTGGGGCGCCGGTGATGTGTGGCGTGGCGTTTGCGCCGCACATTTTAGGGATGCAACTAGCTCTGTTGCACTGCGGGCTGCTGCTGCCTTGGCGGCCCGTCCAAGGGGAGTCTTGGTGTGGCAGCCGCAGCAGGCAGTTGGTTCTGCAGCGCCCACCACTTGCATGCGTGCCGCATGCATGCTTTGTGTTTCTGCCCCTTTGCACACCCTGTGTCCTTCCTTGGCATCGGTTACAAATGCAATCAGTCAGGGGTCGGCACGGGAACGAAAGGGGTTGTGCGGGCTACCTGTTGCTTGCTGCGTGAGAGGCAGCGCAACAGCTTGCTTGGTCGTGCAGGCTATGGGACACACCGCGCAGCAAGGTGTGGCGGGCAACATCGATGCGGTCTTGAGAGCTGGGGCATTGTAAGCAGGGGAGAAAAGTTTCTCGTGTGGGGGCCCAGCAGAGTGGGGGTGGCGGCGAAAGGGAGCATGAGACGCACGATGCAAGTGTGCATGGCAGGTGGATGGGTTGCGTGACAGCAGCAAGGATGTGTCAGCTGCCCGAATGATGCAATCTTGAGCCGGTTGACAAGGGCTTGTGGGAGCGACAACCCCCGCACTAGTCGTGTGACCTCCCCCCTCCCCGCAGCTCTCACAACCGGCGATTCTGACACAGTAGTGTTCCGTGTGACTATGTGCATCAAGAGCAAGCATGAGCATACGAGGCCGTCTTGCGTCAAGGGCCCAGCAGCAGGCAGCCTTGTCAGTCCCCAAGCACTCAGTCTCGCTTGGCGGCCGCGGCCACGGCCGGCGCCCCGCACGGCAGCGGCGCCTTTGCCGCGCCGGCCGCAAGCCGCGCCTCCCGCCGCGCGCACGCCAGGCCGAACGCGGCGCCTGGGCCGGCCAGCAGGCTGAGGCCCAGGAAGGCGCCCGCCCCCGCCAGCCCTTCCTCTGCCAACACAAATATCAGGGCGGACCCCAGGACCCCCAGGAAGTCATACATCATGAAATTCGCGGGCATGACGTCGGCGGACGCGTTCGCCGCGACCGCCGCCAGCTCGCGCCGCGCTGAGTCAGCGTCGCCGCCGTGGGACAGCACGAAGAGGTCGACCACCGACAGGGCGTGGGCCGCGAAGCCGATGAGCGCCACGAAGCGCAGCGCGCCCGCCGCCGCCGCGTTGCCGGGCCGCGCGCCGCCGGGCGCGAGCGTCCAGAGCAGCGCGAGGCAGGGGACGGCGAGGTTGAAGCCGGCGATGAGCGGCGGCTGGGCGGCCTCGGGGAAGCGGGTGGCGTAGACGAGCGGCAGGGTGACAGCGGTCGCCATGGCGGCCTGGGCGGCGATCGCGGGGACCTGCGTGCAACGGGGGTGGGGGGATCAGGAGGGGGTGGAGGGGCAGCCGGGACACCGAAGCTGGTGGAATGAGGAGGGGAAGGGCAGCAGAAACGCCCATGCGTGTGGGTCAGCCCAACGTTCTGTGATCCACCATTGCTGCGACCGTCAGGCTTGGACGGCACCAACACTCCCGGAATCCCCCGCGCGCACGCGCCGGCGCGCGCCGATGGCAGGCCCCGCCCTTTCCGCAAACAACGCCGCTGGACCGTCCCCGTTGTTAGCCGCCCCGCCCCACCTTCCCAGCGGGCAGGAAGGCGCCCTCCACCCTGTGCTTGGACAGCAGCAGGTAGCAGGGCAGCCACAGCGCCGGCAGCGCCACGCTGACGCCCAGCAGCTGCGCCACCACCAGGACCAGGAAGACGCAGCGCACCAGGCCGCGGGCCGAGGATCGCGACTCCTCGACTGCCAGCAGGCTCACCACGGGCGTGGCCGTCGCCAGGGTCTGCAGAACCTGCGGGTGGTGACGTAGGGATGACGTCACGTGCCGACCTGGGCGGGGGAACGTGCAGGAGTTGCTGCACACGGGTACTACATATACGCGGTGTGGTGGCGGGTGATGACAGTGGTGGGCGGGCGTGCGGGCTGCTGCGGATGATGTCGGTACGGGACGGGTGACGGTGCGCGGGTGGAGGGTGGGGCGGTGAAAGGTTTGGGGGCCGGCAGGTGCAGTTGGCCGGTCGCACAGGCTTTGCTGGGGTGGACGGGATGGACGGCGCCGAGAGCGGGGGCTGCCTGCCTGCCGCCGCCGCCGCCATTGCTGCTGACGTCGCTGCTGTTACGGCCTCGCTGCGCGCCCCGCACAGGCGGCGCCCGTGCGCGGCGCCAGGCGCCCGGGCTCCTGTGGCCGACCCCGCTCGGGCGCAGTCCCAGGCGTGTGCGGCCGCGCACCCAGAAGCGCCCCGCGGGCTGCCCGACGCAGTCCAGGAAGAAGGGGGTGATGAGGCAGTGGAGGCCGTCGAGGAAGGCGTTGCCCAGCTTGAAGAAAGGCCTGGGGGTGCCCTTTGGTGGGCCGGCCAGGCCGCATGAGTCCTGCCGGGTTTGGGATGCGTGGGTGGCATGTGTTGTGACGGCAAGGCGAGGAGGCGGATGGACTTTGCAGTGCTCGCATGCCGATCGCGCCGGAGCTACTGTTCAATGTTGCCAGCTGCCCAGTTGCTGCGTGTGTGTCCCCAGCCAGCCGCAGCCCGCGCGTCGGTGATGCTGAGCTCAGCGACTGGGACAGTTTCCTTGTGTCGCACCATCAGCGGTTGCATGTACGGTACCAGGCGGAAGTTGAAGTGGTAGAAAATTGCCGCGGCCAGCGCTATCGAGACCACCGTGAGCACGACCGCAGATCTGGTCGCCATGGCGCAAAAGTCCTGTAGCTCGCAGAATTCGGAGTGTTGAATGTGACTTGACGTGCTTTATGATGACATGAGAGGGTAGCCATCCGCCCAATTGTGAATCTGCAGCGCACTGTCGCCATAGCCACCAGGCGCAGGTGCTCCACCTCCTGGACTCATGGACAGCCGTGGATGTCCGGCGGCCACTGATGAAGTGATTTGCATGCAATGGAACCCAAGCAGTCCCGCCGCGTCAACAAAAGTTTCTGCCATGACAAGGATTTATCAAACTTGTATATATGCTCGCAGTGTCCTTGAGAGTGGATGGTCCAGGGCGCTGTGAGGCACAGCACACTTTTGGTCAAAGAGCAATACGCTTGTGCCAGCAGCAGTCAGACAAGGGTGACAGGCATGCAACAGGGTAACCCTCACTGTTTGCGGGTGTGGTTGACTCCGGAGCATGCAGTGCGGCGAACGCTGGTGTGCCCAGGCATGCTGGCTATGCGAGGACCCCTGTCAATCGCCGCGGTTTTGACACATTACTGGTATGTGTGCACATGAATACCCAAGGGCTTGAAACCAGCTCATAACAATGTGCATGGAACGCAATGTCATGCCCACACGGCGCCCGGAAACTGAAGGGTTGGGGTACTGGTCAGAGGGCGAGGCAGCAAAGGTGGGAGGCAGCCTGTCAGACGAGTGAGAGGCTGGCCATGCCTCAACGGCGTGGCCCAACAACTGCGCTGAAGCGCGACTGTCGTCACATTCAGCTGACAGCTACATCAATTTTCATGCGGCGGCCATTCAGCAGGCGACCCTGCCTTGTCAAAAGGACTGCAGGCCTGCCCAGCCCACTCCCGGGAGTGGCCGCTGTGCGGCCCCACAGCGCCCGAAGCCGCGCTGTTCTAACACCGGTAGCGTGATGTAGAACAGGATCAGACTGAGTTCTTCTTTTCTTATGGCCTGAATATGCCGCAAACCTCATTGCATGTGCAGGAGTAGCCTGCCATGCTTGATACTTTGATGCGTTGTGTCTGAGTCATCCGAGGTGGCTGGCCTGGCCAGTGGCGCGCGGAGGGGTCATTTTCTATGTGTCATCACTTACACCGATTCATTTTAGCCAGCAATTTTGAAGAACATACCCCATCCAGGCCTGCTGCAGTTGCTGTGTGATCTTCAAAACGTTGTTTCGCACCTAGGATCTGCAGCGATACTTCAGATCAAGCGGCAGTGCCTTTTGGTGGTCAATCAAGCTTTGCAATTGCGCAGGTTTGTCGACACTGCGCAGAATTGTGCAGCGTCACCCCGCAGCATCAGTTCGTGCGGCATAGCAGATGCCATTTCAGGGGAGCAATCTTGATGCATAGAGATGGCAGCCAGGACGGACTTCTGTGCGGCTGCCGTGGCTGCCGCGCACGCCTGCTGTTGGCGCATCGCCGCTCGCTGGCAGCCATGCCTCCCAACCGCACCTGCTCACGACACTCACGTGCAGGTTGCTGTTGCAGTGGGTGCTGCTTTGGATTGCAGACACGCGCATCAGAAGCCGTGCCTGAGTTGAATAGGTGGACGGGCCAGCACAGGATCTGGAGCGCCCGTGCGCACAACATAAGGCACCAAATCGAGCTTGCAGCCAAGGGCGCCTGAGCGGCGGCGCTCACCGCGATGGCGGCTGAGGAGGGGGAGGACGGCGGGATGTCATATTATGCGGTGCTCAATGTGCCGCGGGAAGCCACCACTGAGGAGATAAAGGTGGGGCGACCGACGCCGAAGCGCAATTTCATTGCCACTGTGGCTGGTGCTGCCGCCGCCGCCACTGCCGCCGCCGCCGCTGCTGCTGCTGCTGCTGCTGCTGCTGCTGCTGCTGCTGCTGCTGCTGCTGCTGCTGCTGCTGCTGCTGGAGCTTCCCGACTGTACTGCCGCTGCTGCAGCGGCTGGTCTGCCCCGCTCAAACGCAGCGCTTCGGGCACCTCTAGCGCTCCCTCATGCCTGCCCATGCCCTGCTGCCCCTGCTCCCCTGCCTGCCTCCTTGCCGGCTGCAGCGCGCCTACCGCCAGCTGGCGTCTGTGTTCCACCCGGACAAGCACGCGGATGAGGAGCTGCGAGTGCAGGCCCAGGAGGCCTTCTCTCGGCTGCAGGTGGGCTGGGCGGTTAAGGGCGGCGGCAGGCAGTGGGAATGCTACGGTCCGCAGTCGCATGCTGCTCGTTCCGGCGAGGCCGTTGATTAGTGCTGGAGGGGGTGGCAGCTGCGCCTCTGACATCCTATACTTTTTGCATGGAGTGCACCGCAGTTGCTGGCCGCGCGCCCCCCCTTTGCTGCTGGTCAGGAAGCGGACCCTCAGTTAGTCTGCACACAAACACTCACCAGCTCATGCACATAGCACAACACGCGCACCCACAAGCCCGCACCTGCGGACGTGACCACACTCATGCCGACACCTGCTTGCAACTTCCCCCCCCCCACCCCACACACAGGAGGCGTATGAGGTGCTGTCTGACCCCTCAAAGCGCGATATCTACGACGCATACGGCCGCGAGGGCCTCTCCTCCGGCCTGGAGGTCGGTGCAAAGCTGCAGAGCACCGAGGAGCGCCGCGCCGCCTGGAAGGCGTTCCTAGACGAGCAGGAGCGCAAGCGCCAGGACGCGCTGAGTAATCACAGGGGCACCTATCTATGCCGCCTGGACGCGACCGCGCTCGCGCACGGCGCGCCGCGCGCGCCGTCGATGCGCATGGTGATGGCGTCCAACGCGGTGGAGATCCCTTTGGAGGTCGGCGGCGCCGACGGCGGCACGGTGACGGTGCAGGGGCAGGCGCTGCTGCGGACGCACCCGCGGCTGCCGGGGACGATGCTGGGCAGCGGCAGCGTGCTGGCGGGGTACCGGCGGAGCCTCGGGGACTCCAACACAATCGACGGCAGCGTGCAGGTGGGTGTTCTCTGGTTAGTGTTGGGAGTGTGATTGTGTGTTTTTTTTGGGAGGGGAGAGGGGCGCACGAGTTGCGTTGGATGAGGGGAGGGCGCGTTTGTTGGCAACGAACACGGGGGCGTCATGAAGGGGGGGTGCGATTCGGACGGCCAATTTGTCAGATGCAAATGCCGCAAGGAGACAAGAGTGTGGTGGGGCAAGTTGTGAGAGATTGTGGGCGTGTGTGTGCATGTGTTTGTGTGTACGCGCGCCCACGCGCGGCTCGCATGGCAGCAGGCAGACGGAGCTGCACCCATGCGCGCCGCTCCTGGACCCGCCCGCGCCGCTCCCACCAGGCGGCGCCAACCCCACGAGCTCCCGCCTCGCAGCGCGCTGCCCCCACACTCCCGCCACCCGTCCTCGCCCCACCCGCCCCCTGCCCCTTGGACTTCAGGTCGGTCTCAACAGCCTGGTGACGCTGACCACCACGCGGCAGATAGATCACTACACCCAGGCAGCACTGGCCGCCACATACAACATGGAGCAGGGCCTGGGGCTGCAGGTGGGCGGGAGGGGGCGCGAGGGACGCGCGCG